AGTCTCACATGTCGACCAGCACTACGGCGCTCACCTACCTACGGGTCACTGTTTTCTGCTAAAAGTCGTCCGGGGACTAGCCATTCAACGACGGTAGCTGATGACGAGACACAGAGTAGCGTCGATCACCCCTTTGCACATGAATATAAGCAGAGGGCGCGCCCTGTTCCTACAAATGCCATCAAGCTAGAGTTCTCAAACTACGCACGGGTGGATATTCAACGTCGTGGCCACAAGGCGAAGAAGTATGAGTTCGAGTGGTGGGAGCATAAATACACCTGGAGACGGATTGTGGACAAGTTGACAGGGACAATCTCTTTCCATCTGTTTCGTGACGGCGAGAGAACGCCTGTAGCTCATATGGTTCCCGAGACTCGATCGCCTAACCAAATCGCCATCGACGAGCGTGCTGGTGGATGGATTCCTCCCTACCATATGTGGATAAGCGATCAGAGCCTGATTGATGTGCAGACAGATGTCGCAGAGTAAGTACATCTATATTTACCCCCTTGAAGATTCAAAACTACTACTAGCCAAATCAACCAACACACACACCTTATACATTTACTCCCGCGACACCGCATTCCAGGTTACTCCCGGTGAGCTAGTTTTATCTAACTTGTTTACAGCGTTGTTGTCTCAACTGGTCTGATGGCCCTCGTTGATGACTGCATCAAGGCGCGTTGGCAGCCCAACAAACATCGCGTCCGCCGCTTCAGCCTGCCGGACGTTGAGTTCACCAGACCCCGCTCCTTTGTACAACATCTGCTTCATCGCCGATTCTCGGAACATCATCAACATCGCCCCCAAAGCCCGCTTCGCTCCCAGAAGGCTGTGGCTGCCTACTAGGCCAGGCAGCCCCTGCCCCCCAAGAAATCAATATTCACACGACAGAAGGCTTTGACCCAGACTATTGCTCGTCACAGCCGAGCACAGCCTGCATTACATCGCATCGCATCGCATTGTATTGTGGCTCACATTTACGAAATCGGAGTTAGGGAGGGGAAAGGGAAAAAAAATTTCAAACAGCCGCATTGTTATTGCGTTTGCTACGTTGCTACCCCGGCATCCCTGCCGCGCACACCATATTATGTGCGCATGTATAAGCTACCTAAGCTGAGGCTGCCGGTTACCAAGGGGGGCTTCGGATCCACGCTCGCTTCGCACCTCTTCTCCTTACCTTCGCTTCTCACACGCCTCCCTTCTACCTATAATTTCTTTTTAATGGTCACTTCAATGATCCAGACGCCTCAAGCACCATTGAGATCTCCTTGATTCGTCCGGTTTCAGGGTCGGTGCTTCTCACCACCATCCCGACTAGTGCATATTTCTTGTTTTCTTCTTCGCGCAGCTTGTTTTCCTGTTGATAGACCGAAAACGCGACTTACCTCGCATCCGTTGCATTTTTGTCCGATGACTATAACTTCACAATCGTTTTTTTCTTTTCTCGCGCATCGTATCGCGCGCGCATGGGCGGAGTTTAGCATCGGGTCCTGGGTGGTGGAACTCTGGTTTTTTGAGTTTGAGCCATGTGTATATGAACTTTTTAGTTTTCCATTTCCTCTTTTTACTCCTCATTTCTAATTGGGAACTCGGGGCGGGAAGAGCATTTCTGGTGCCATCATCCATAAGCAGGCTGGGCAAGGTGCCGGGAAAAGGCGCTGCAAGGAAATGAATGATACGGGCGAAAGATTCGGTCGCCTACTTGCATGGAAACGGCACTTTTCTATCTATCTGTCTCGATTGATTGGAAATTCGTCGTCTATCTAGGTATCTTAGCAGCAAAAATTTACCTAATTTCATGACAATCTCACTCCCGTCATTTGTGATACTGCGGTATAGCCTGCAGTCCTTGGTTACACGAACATTACCAGCTCCCTGGATACCTGTTACAATATCAATCTGACAACAGCAAGACGCGATGCGCGCCCCGTGGGATTATACCTCCGCCCCGATCCTGGGACGACACGAAAGGCAATACCGTAATCATGAAAAACACCAGCCACCTTATGCATATACATGCGCGGCGCGTCCCGATTCGTCGACCGCAGGCGGCCCGAACCAGCCCCCAAAGTCAAGCTTCATCAACAAGCGATCGATGCCGCCCACGCGGCGGGGCCTATACCTCATCGCGCCATCCCCGTCCACGTCCATGTCCCCTTCTAGATCCTCCATCGTAGCATTACCCTCTTCGCCCTCCATCTCTGCGGCGAAGCCCGAGTCGAGGCTCAGAGTCCGCAGCGCGGAGATGACGTTCTCGATGCCGAATTTGACGCGCCGCTCGACGCCGCGCAGCTGGGCGCGCACGTCGCGCTCCTCGGCGTCGAGGTTCGAGAAAGCGTCGACGACGCCCTCGTCCGCCTCGAGGTCCGCGGCGACCCAGACGCCGTGCAGGCGGTGCACGAGCGCGACGAGCTGGTCGATCTGTATGAGTAGGTCGTAGAGCGGTGCGACGAAGGCGTGCTGGGTCATCAGGAGGCGCCGTGTCAGCGCGCCTAGGTACTGGCGGTGAGCCGTGCTGAGTGTCTGAGGGTCGTGGTTTGGCTGGGCGCCTTGGTGTGTGGTGGTGATGACCGGTGATCCGCCGCCGCCGCCGTCGTTAATAGGTCTTATGTCTCCGGTGGCTAGATTGTTTATCGGGAACCCCTTCACCTGCGATGTTGAGGAAAGGCGATTGTGCTGCTCTCCACGCAATACCTCGCTGGTGCCTGTGAGCCAGCCGTAGAAGTGAGACCATAGACTTTCGACGACTTCAACTTGTAGATAGGCCTCGGTTTCTCCCAAGAAGAAGATAGCTGCGCTACTAGTGCTCCACGTACTACGCATGATCGAAGACCGGAGTGAACTACGTTCGCGAAGTAGCTTAGTCTTAGCAATGCCGCCCTTTGTGTTACCGTATGGCATTCTAGGGGGTGGTGGATGATGACGACGGAGAGAGGTGACTTTCCAGAGGTCGGTGAGGCGGAGGTGAGCACGTCGGATCGAGAGGAGGTAGGAATTAATTGCGGTGTATATTTGGAGATCGGAATGTGTAAGGAACAGATCAAGAGGGGATTGTATTTGCATTGTCAGCGTGACCGGCACGGAAAAAAGGAGGTTTTGAAAGGGTATTGGTATAATGGCATGGAGGATCTTATCGCTCGTACGATCGGAGCCTTTGGTCAGCGTTCTTGCTTCGGTAGACTTAGAGACATGTAGCTGTAATAAATCTCTCGCGAGCTCAAGGGCTTCATCTTCATCTGCATGCTGGCTTTGCATAGAGCTTAGGAAGGCCCAAGTCTTTGCCAGCACTGCTGTGACTTCGCCCTCTTTCACAACAACAGTACCCAGTGTGTCCCTTTTCTCATAGGCGAGATTATCCGCCCGTCGCCAGCGGCTACGGATCTTCTCGTCGGCTTGCTGCGTAAGAGCTATGGCAAACTCGCCACGGCCGATTAAGAAGAATTCTCTAAGAACCTTCAGTACTTCTAGTACCTTGACTAGCGGCAAAAGTTTTTGTGACGTGGTTCTCGATAAAGTATATCGAATTCGTGTGATAGCTCGAGAGAACACGGCGCTATTAAGCGGTGATGACAACTGCGCGAGTTCCTGATGCTGTGAGGCGAGGTGATCCAGGCCATCGGCACTTAGATCTGTACCAGCCCTCGAGCGAGTTCTGTTTATTGAGACACCGACGAAAAGCATAGATCCTGCCGTTGATGGCGTCACAAACGAGGGTAACAAGTCGTAGTCAATCCGATATCCATGCTCTTCTTCGTTATCTTCACGTATGAAAAAATCATAGCCGCCCACAGCCGGCCTACGCCCGTATAAGACCCATGCTGAAATTTGCTTTAACCACGAAGTTTCAGCGACCTGGAGCAGGCTCTGAGCAATTTCGGCAACATCGGCATAGCCAGTTTGCAACTCGCTCCGCAGTCTGTCGATGAGTTTCGCCGCCTGGCAAGGCAGTCTGTCCTCCCTGCCCTCGTCGGCGGTCATGAATTCAATAAGTTGCCAGAGCCATTCCAGACGCCGAGTCCAATCTGAGAACTGACCAACTACAGCGGTCAGGGGCACAATGTTGTAGGCACCAACTAGCGCGGCATCTTTACAAAGGATGCTGTCCTCGACTTCTATGATCTTGCGTTGAAATGCAGCCAGATGAATCGCTACGATGGCGGAAGAGACAGCGCGACAGATGGCAGAAGGATGAGCGCTACTGATGCGACTAGTTTGATCTCTCAGCTGGCAGTGCAGGTCGCTCAGACGAGCTGCTGCATCTAGGAGTTGCCTCTCTGGCGGAGATAGGAGAGACGATGCGGCGGGACCGGAATGGTCATTCCGGAGTAGAGGTGACGAGTGTCCTGACAACGAGAGCAAGATTTCATGGAGCATGGCGGAGAAGAAGAAGAAGAAGAGGACGGGGAAGACGAGGAGGCACTAACACATGCTCATATTAGATAAACGTCACGATCGCAACAAGCGGGTATATCATGGGTCCAAACCCTTGCAAGGTCCGCGACTTTCGCCTGGAGCGTATCGAATCGCCGATGGCTTGAAATATAAGAACGAGTGAGCCCAAACACTCGTATCGACACATCGGGGACAGGCGATAGATCGATCTCTAGACTAAGAGTTACGATTACTCTTTGGAGCTAGCACTGATCAGTCGAGGTTCATTGTTCACTATCCACTGAACAAACGATTTTGGTGGACAGCCAGCAGAATTAGTAGATACACGATAGATAGAGTATCATGTATCTATCCTCAATTCAACAGCGTCGGGAGAGAAACATGTGTAACTTTAGCGATAGGTCCCTTAGGTACTCACTTTTTAGCAACTTATTTCATGCCGCCCAGGTGCATGCGTAGGAGGTACCTATGAAGAAGGAGCGTCGCGCCTAGCTTAGGTCAAGCGCGTTTTAGGTTGACAAACCACTGCCAGTTGCTGTCCAAAAATTGTGAATATAATTTGTAGCTGAGAACAGTTGTTTCAAGCACAGTGCTTAGATAAGCCTGCCCGGCTGGCTCAATGGTTAGAGCATCTGACTTCTAATCAGAAGGTTGCGTGTTCGAGTCTCGCGTCGGGTTGTTCAGTCTTTTTTCCCCAATCCTCTCTAGAACAATAGCCTAGAAAACAAAGGAGAAGGGTTTAAATTCACTTTTTGGTAATTACCCTGACTACCTACATTTTCAATCGAAAAAAAAAAACCTTATAAATCTAATGGTTTCCGCGTGGGTATTCTGTATTATCTAGGCTACTTGATCGTATTGGTTATTCTACATCTCTCGCATCCAGGCTGTCTTACTCTTTCGTTCTTTTGGCGCTCAAGGAAAGCTATTTCTTTGTCGTCCTTATCGATGCACCACTGATACTACCTGAATCCTTGACTAGGTGTGTTGTTGAGCCGTTGTTAGACTCAGTGTCATCACCAACTATGACATCAGCTGTTTGGTTATTGCCGATTTTGACTTTTCCAACGACCATTCCTCTCCCAACCGCTTTGATAATTGCTTTTCGAGAGACGCCTGTGGCATCGATGTAAACGAGGCCGACGTTCTTGACACTACCGCTGAGATGCTTGGTCAGCTCTCCTGCCTCGTCACCCCATCGATGCGCTACCATTGTCGTCGCCGACGAGGTCGCGGAATTGAGGAGACTTCTAGTTGCGTGGTCAATGCCGTCGGCTACCGTTGAAAAGGCCATTAGGCTCTTATTCAATAGTCCGGGCTTGAAGCCTTCAAGAGCTTGGCCATCGGGGCCAAAGCCTCTCTTCCCATTCTTGTCTTTGTAGCCCCGTCCTGCAAGGCTGGCTCCGAGGTTCTGGGCTACCTTACTAACCTGCCCGACCGTTTTAGACGACATCTCAGCCATTCCACCAGAAAACTTCCCGATTCGACGCACTCGCTCATGCGTTGCCGGGTTGAAGGTCAATGGTTTACTTGCAGCCTTCGTATTCTTAGTAAAGCTGTCTGATCCGGTTTGCATGGCATTGGAAACAAGATTGGATGTCGTGATGATGAGCCGCGACGCATATGCGGCCTTTGACACTATAAACGACTTTTGGTACGCCGGGTGCAACTCCATCTCAAGAGTCTCCGCCGACGCCGGCACAACCGCCAATTCATTTCCCTCTGTAGGCAGAGTAATTTCAACAGGGTCTAGAGATCATCTTAGCCAATCGATTTACCAGATTGTAAAGACCAGGCAACCGTGTGCTTACCCTTGGACCCAGGCTTGACGCCAGACTCCACGACTTGGAATCCATCCGATAGCTCGCCGATGACACTTCCATCTTCTTCATCTATGAGCACGATCTGACCCCCACGCACGGAGCTATGGCTTCCTTTTACATATCCTTCCCCAGGCTTATAAGACGCGGGGTTATAGGCGGGAAGCGGCGCCTCTCCTGAAGGACCCGCCTTTGATTTAGGTTTAGATATGGATGCAGAGGACTTCGTTGTAGTGATCGGGGTTTTGGGCAGCGATTTTTCTGTTTGCACCTTGGCGGCCTTGGGCGGGGGAGCCCTTTCGAGAAAGGCAGTGCATTGCGCCAAGATTGTCTCAAATGTATCCACATCTTCCTGAAGACCCGAACGACTGCCAACAGCAGGGAATTCGAGGCGGGTAAAAGCGCCGCTGTCGGGACCGAGATCCCATCGAGGAATGAGATAGCTCCTAGGGGGTTGATGATAGATCTGGGTAGTCGCGGGGAGAGGGATGTCGAGCTCGGGCGGCAGGTGAAGGTGTAGGTAGAAGTCTTCGGCCGGGGTGTCGCCTTGCGCATCAAATGTCGAGGGGTCCGCGAATGGCGAGGAAGTAGGGACCATCAACAATGATAGTGTCTGAGAGCCACCGGGCGTCAGGGACTCTTCCCTACCATAGGCGAGGTGGTAGGCGGACACGCCCTGAATAGCATAGAGGAGTTTCGGGTCCTGTCAGCGCGAGGACTCATTAGCATTCGCAGGAGAACAGATGACATCAATCTAGGGTCGTGAGGCCAGCCGCGAGGTCAGGCGAGATATCATGCAGGACACGCATGCTTACATTATGGCCAGACGCCATGTTGAGGAGCTGCGAAGAAATCGGCGTCAACGATCAGCCGGCGCAACGGTTTCGTAGAGCGCGGAAGCCACAAGCACGTTTGGAGGAGTGGAGTGGATATGCCAATAACTACGTAGGTAGATATATCAATGACTAAAGGAGAATTGTATATGTACGCATGGATGAATGTACTCTAGAAGAGCATTTCCGAGCTTCTCAGTACAAATGATATGCCGTACACTAGAACACTTGGATAAAGGGATTGGGATATGGTTGGGAAGGGGGGGTTGTGTCAGTTGACTTGCTTCAAAGACACATGCAAATGGAGGGCAGATGTGGTGCCCCAAGATTCTTGGAGCTTGCCTATGAGGTAAGGCACGTAGGCACCTTGGGGAGGCGCTTGGGGAGAGCGCGTAGGTGATAGACGAGAGGCCTCAGCGAGAGAGATGCTGTAACAGTCCGGTGGTTGGAAGACGTCATTGGTGCGCTCGCACCCAATCACCACGCACAGCGGGCCTCTGTCAAGCAATTAACCTTACCTATGTAGGTACCTAAGGTATGTATCATAAATGCATACATTAAGATATGCGAATCTTCACTTCAACCTAGATGCTTATGCTTATTCTCTTTTATATCTAGTCCACCGTATAGTTGACGTACAAATTAATCATAATTTCTACTTGCTGCATACCTAGCTATAATACTTTCCACAGAGACAGGTAGACCTACAGCGTAGGTAGCGGGTAGGTGTAGATAAAGTGAGGGGCAACTCAGGTGATAGAGCCCTGATGAGGGGTCTAGGAGTTTTGAGCGTCTCTTATCCCGCGACCTATTTTTAGCCCCCACGACTATCGCAGTACGCAGGCTAATACTGTAAATACTGCCAGGTAGGTACCTACCTATTCGCGCTAGCGGCTAGCATATGACGGCTGCCCTCTTTTTCTCCTACATAAGGCACCGTAGTAGCTCTAATCACACACACACACACATACATACCTACTTCTTAATACTTGATCCAGATCCAGATCGAGATGCAGATTTTTACCACCTTATCTACCTATTATTGTATCTAGGATCTAGGTAGATGATGAGGAAGATGCGCGTACTAAGTAGATGATGCAACTAACTGCGCCTCCCCGCCTCCATCCGCGATCCCCAACGAATCGTCTCTCAAGCCCTCCATCGCCAACTTTCAACATTGCCCATTCGCTGTCAGACCTGGTGAATCACTCACTCACCAAACGACTGACCAGTTAGCAATGTTTCAGTTGGCGGAATCTGTTTCTAATTAGCCCTCCCAGCTTCAGGCCCCGTCGTATCCAGCTGCACGCAGCTCTCACCACAGCACACGTGCCCTTGTAGGTAGGTATGCCGACTCGGTACTCGCGTATACGGGCTCGACTTGGGGTAGTATATTGACCACCTGGGTAATCCTTCAGGCCTTCAGGCCGGGCATGGATCACAAACGGCCGTCTGTCAGATAGCCAAGCTACCTTAACCAGGTACTAGCTATCCACCCCTGATCTGCCTCTGATCGGCCCCTTTGAGATGTCCGCCCAAATTGGCGATGCTGCCAGCGGATCAGTGGCTCCGTCAATGTCTCTGCTGTTAGCCATGGGATGCTTGCCTCGCTGCTTGCTTTCTGTCTCTCTGCCCTCACGGCATTTAGCACTGCAAGAAAGGGGCAGGTGGTCAAGACCACCGACGCGGCCCGGCCTAATAGTCACAGATGATGACCAGCAGAGCCCGGCCTGCTGATGCTATTCACCGGCGCACCTAGGTAGGACCTCTCTATTTCCGCGGCATAGCGTGTCCCGACGCCCTGGTTAGGCACTCACCTCGGGCCAACACTATTCCTATATCACACCTAGTAGTACCCCCAATTCGCTACCGCGACGCAAGACGCAAGGCCGGCTCGTTCCCGTTGGTGCTACAGTAGGTGATGGAGCTGCAGTAAGACATTGTTGGTGCCTCCCGCTCAAACCGTTCTAGTGCACGCGCCGCATTTGATGCTTCTGGACGGGATTGACCACCCTCGCTCGCCGTTCATTGGTTACCAATATTCGCCCACCATTCGTTCGGTTGCGCCGCTCTCTTCTCTATCACTGCTGCAGTTAGATAGGACCTCGATGTATCCGATTGCCCGCGTCTGCCGCCTGTCGAGCTGTAGATGGATATGCCACCCACCCACCACGACTAAATAATAAGAGCTTGTGTATATGTTCTTTTTACCTTTTCCCTCTCTCTATGAATCATCCTGTGCGGGCATCCGTCTCAAATTCGATACCTTGCTTCGATAAAAAAAAAAACGCCCTAGTCTATCTAGACACGCTGAACTTGACTTCAAGCCTGATCATTTGTATCTATTCGTTTCTGTAGTCGAACTCTTCGTTAATGGCATGTGTCAGGATACGCTACTGAACAAACTACTTGACCAAGAAGCTAGCCATTCATCTGAACTTTCTACCTTGTGGTCTTGTTAGCGGTGAGAAACACGAAGGATCTATAGCAACCAAGACTCTTTATGTTGTGCGAGTAACCCGTTGTCGAGAGGTAGACACATCTGGTAACAGTCAATAATTCCCAGCTGCTTGGAACCTCCATTCCGCCAAGTTCGACTACTACCTACTCGAAAATAGTACAATACCCTCACAAGTTGGATACGTAACGCAATTTTATATCCAGTCATCGAGCTTTCTAGTACACGTCGCCACCTTGCACCCCTCAAAGATTGATACCCAGCTTGGGATATTGCTTCCCTGTGTACATTTTAACACTTGTCTCCAGGGTCTGTCCAGGACCCAACCGTCACGATTTCAACCCCAATTCGTATCCACTCAATTCTTTCTCCTCCAGACCCCCAAGAGCTTGATGAGAATTCAAGTATTACATCAGGTCGCGCAACGCCAAAGCCAAGACTAGCAGGCTCGTTCTCCCCATTCGGCACCCCCTCCAAACCATCTTCTCCCGTTCCGCGAGCATACTCAGAAGCCGAACCGTCTGATACTGAGCCACAAAGAGTGCAGGGGCCCGGCACAGGGGGCAC